TTGATAAATGTATTAGGAACAAAGAGATATAAATTAAGGTTGCCATATTCTTTGAAGAAGTTTTATAGAGCATATGACCTTAAGATTAATAGACTGTAACTACTTAAACTATAGGCTTTATAGAAGTACAATCAAATCTTGTCTTATGGATCTCAAATCAGATGATGATGTTATTTGATTTAGGAATATTACTATATTGAGATTTTTATTTACTAAGTGATTTTGTTTTGAGTTAAACCTTTTTTTTTAAAAACTATTTATTAAAATTATTTTCAAAGCTTTTTTTTTTTTAGCATTAAGAAACTAAATAAATAAAACTCATAATTTTTAAAAGTAACAATAATTATTTCTGTAAATTTTTAATAGATAATAGAATTTTAAGACAATTTTCAACACATTATTGGCTGAATGTGGAATTGAATACTTCAAAAAGGATTGTATTATCTTAAATATGTAAGCAGAAAACTTGCTTACCTATTCATGAAATCTATTTTTTTAAAGAAGAAAACATAAAATAGCCTAAGGACAAGTAGATTCTATACTCAAAATTAGTACTTGAAATAGAAAATTCATTATCTAGAAGAGGAAAGATATAATTTGAATTTGTTGAGGGGGACACTAAATTAAAACTATCAAATTAGATTTTAATTTAAAGTAAGTTCCATTATTCCTCTTGAATTGAACATAAAGGGCCATAGTTAATTAAGTATGTTTTTGAAAATAAATAGATAATTTAGTATTAAATTAAAAGAAGAGTTTATTTTGCTCAAATTTTTTGGGTGAAAATCGAACAATATTTCAAATCTTACTTAAAATGCACAGAAAGCTTCGTATTATCCTTATAAATGAATACCAATGATTTTCCTACAATTATCCCTAATTTAATGTGAAGTGCAATATAAATAAATTATAACAACTCATTAAAATGAGTTTGTATTTTAAAACAACAAATATTTTTCTTTTGGAATAATGCGATGAGAATAACCTAAGTCCTAAAACAGAATTGCCTTTGAATATTAGGATGTATTAGTTGTTTATAAATGAAGAGAAACAAAGGATGACTTCACTATCAAATTTTGCGATATAAGTTTAGACTTGCTTTTGATTTAAGATTTTTAACTGGTCCAGTTGTTCAATCAATTTGATTAGAATGAATGAAATTATCGAATCAAAATCTTAACTTTTCTAAATAGAATTATCGATAGAATGGCAGTAGATGAGTTATTTAGTTGAAGAAATAATAATAAACAATTTATTTGCAAATTTCCTATTAAGATTGATGTAATAGTTTAATTATAATTTATCATTTATTCATTAATTAGGTACTTATTTTAATATTTTTTCGATGGAAATATAATAGAATTTAGACATGAGTACATATCCATATACAATATTTCACAACAATAACATTAATAATTTTATGAAAAATTTAATTGGAAGGGCCCCTTAGTCCACAAAAGTTTAATCATATCCAATATCATTATTTAATGGTACAGGTTCAATGAATTTAGTATATGAGGAAATTTTGAAAGCTCACAAAAAAAAATTTCGATGACCTCAAAGACTAATAATAAAAAATTCAATTTACAGAAGAAGTCCATGATTTGAGCCTTTTAAGGCTGCTAGGTCTGGTGACATTACTATAGCATTTAAATACGTTTTCAACAAATTGTTATCTGAAAAGATCCCATATCATATAATCATAATCTTTATATTTGTTGGCAATGATAAATTCAAATTCACTGAACTAGAAGAGTTGATTTAAAAAATTCAGGAATAAAAATGTTAAATTTAATTTGTTTCTATTTCAATTGGGAAATAATTTCCGAATGCTATCTCAAATCAATTGAGAGTAAAACTTCATAATACAGAATTCATTTAACCTCTTCATCATCATGAAAAAAACCCAGAATAAAAACTGTTTCAGATTATTGACTCCACTTTTCAAACAATTAGATCTTAATCTCTAGTGTACCAAGACATATTGGAGACAGATAAAGAAGTAAAATTGACATTAATTTCTAATCCTTAAAATACCTTATCCGCTGGAGCACTATTTGTTTCTGAGGAGTAAGTTTGCATCAATTGTTAACCAATCGAACCTTCAAATGATATAAAAGATAAGAAGTGAAATCTGCTTAATAGGCATTAATCTTATTTGCTAGTGATGTTGATGAAAAAGCATTAAAAAAGTTTTAAATAATTAAGGATTTTTTTTCTGATGAAATAGTGAGTGAATTGAAATAAAACAATTAATAATAGTGATAGACAGTACAGGAATAAAACTTGGCATTCAGTTTAATAATGCTTTGCTAATCGTTAACTAGTTTGCAAGTGGAGATGTTGATTTAGATTAATGTACTCCAAATACTTTAACAGATTTATAAGCAGAATTGTCAGATCCTGATGCTTCTTCTAGTATTTTACTGATATCACAATAAATATCATTAAGTGGAAATGGTAAAGATTTAGAGCCTGACAACATTAATGCAATCCAAAAGAAAAAATTAAAAAATGTTGGATGTTATCCTAGAGCCTAAACTAAAATGAAATAGATTCAATAATTATAATAAACTTATGAATCCGCATAAATCACTATGATAAAAGAAATTATAATTAATGGATTAAAAAAGTACAAGTCCTTATTCACTCAAAATTAAAATTATAAGGATGGACGTGAGATTCTTAATAAATACTATAAATCCAGTCTTATTGAGCTTAATTCAGTTTTTGAAAGATTCTAATTAGCCCAAGTTGATGAAGAATCATATGATCTATTAAAGGAGCTGAATCTGATGATGAAGGAAATGGATTCAATTAGACTCATTAAGAAAGCCTTGGCTCCCTACTAAGCTAATAAAATTCTTGATAATGTATTAGCTCTTGCAGACATTGGCATGCAATAGACTATGGCAATACCAGAGATTAATGATGAATTTGATCATCTCCCCGAATCCTTTTAATTTCAAATTCAACCGTTAGATGATTAGGAAAAAATTGTCATTGCCATTTTCGACAAAAAAATGACTCAATATAAAAATGAAATAGGTTCAGCTATTTGGAATTTCAATTAAGAATTCACTTAAATAGAAACCATTAAATTGTTTTGGTAAAACACAAAATTTTGATTATTTGACTCCCAATAATAATATACAAGCTTAGTTGATATATTTTATCAGTTTGAAGAGAAATAATATCATTTGAGGACTAAAAAAATCTACATCTTTTTTGATTGACTGATGGTATGAATGATTATCCTAAATTGCATAAATAACTGAAAAGCCTTAAAACAAATAGATATCTCATAAAACTTTCATATGTTACTATAGGTTCATCTTTTCACTGTTAAATTACCAATGAACTATATAGAAAAATATAGAGCAGGAATCGCTAAAAATAGACCTTTAGTATTGAAGTGTGTCAAGGCGGAATATCGATTATCATTTTGCAATGGGATTCTAAGTTTTGAGAAATCATCTCTTCCCTTAGGTCTGAGTTGAGAAGCAGTAATGGAATAACAAAATTTAGATATATTGATTTTTATATGCATCAAATGATAATTCAAATTATATATATTGTTATTCATCAAAAGCTAATTGATTTAGTTTTATATTTAAACAAAATTTGAGGTACGTCTGATAAGTTCCTCCTTCTCAATTTTATATGTTGGGATATTAATAGAAAATGTGTTGTTGATTAAATTAAAAGGATTAGTTAAATTTTGAAGACATTTAAATGTATGTTAAAATTTCAGTTGCTATTCAAGATCACATCTTGTTCAAAATTTTATAAAGCTATAAATATCTTATGTATTTGTAAGCCCTTGATATCATTCCTTTAGAAAACTTAAGTGTTACTTCAATTTCTATTGGCTTGATATAAAAATAGTATGTGAGATAATCCAGATATAAAGAAACAACCCTTCATGTTTAGATACTTAAGCTTCAGTTAATTGTTTATGCATAAGGATCATGATCCAAATTTTAGTCATTAAGAAACTTCTCATATAGTCTTAGTTTTGGTTGATCAAGAACAAATAATTAACATCTTAATAGAATTATCAAACTATTTTCTCAAATGTATTCAACAAAATGTTTTAGAATAAGGATACATTCTAATTAGTTGGCAAATCTCTTCCTCAAATGATATAAGCATGATTAAACCATTATAAGAGTGTCGATATTTTCCATGATTATAGAAATATAAGTTTTACTTTCTATTGTGCCTGTAATGATAATTTGAGCTATATTTATTCTTTTAATAGATAGGTCATACTTGATAATTCAATTATTATTTAAAGGAATTAATTAAAATTACAAGTAAGATGGTATTGCTCATCTATCAAAAATCGTATTTTCAAATGTCAAATTCCTAAATATGGTTCTCCCAATCTTTATCCCTTCCCAG